AATTTTCCACACTTATAGAGAATATAGAGAAGAAGAGCACAACGCTAATACTTTTTTAAAATAATACATAAAAGATACATTAAATCGATAAAGAAAACATTACACACACATACATACATGTATTTGACGCACACACGCATGCATACTATTTATTGTCAAGCTTTTGTTCTTGACGTCTGTTGTCAAATTGAGAATAGATTAAATATTATTTGTCTTTGTTAATATTTTTTATAGTGTAGTCTTGGCGAAATTTGTGATTAAAGAAGTATAAAATACCATTTGATTAGTGTACAAACTTACAATTCCAATTAATTATAGTCGAATTTCGACTACTACGGGACCTCTAGTTATTGTTAATTTGTCAATCTGTATATATTATAATAATGAATCTGCGTAATGTATGTAATCGCATAGCTTCAGAACGCCAGCAACAAACTAGATAACTATTTTTTGGTTGTGTTTGTTATCATTAGCAGAAGGTTCTTATGAAAAAAAAAATTAAGGAAATCGCGCGGAAAATTAGAAAATTCAAGAAAACTGAACCACAATATTAAATTTTGTAATGTAACCCTATGGCGTTTGACATAACGTTGACAAAGCGCTTGCTACAAATATCCAGATTAGTATAAAAGAAAATTCAATAAAATCAATAATAAATTTTAATCCCCGAAGCGAACCGAAGGCGGGTCGTTAGTGTTTTATATTGACGATCACTTTGTGGGTGTAACTAAATAAATAAATAAAAGCTTATCTTAGTTCTCGGTTAGTATCTTATAGCACTTTTGTGACTTGAGTATAAAATCGTGTTTGGTTTGGCAAAACTGTTTTAATTGTATAAATTATGGAGGACCGGATATGCCCTGAGGAATAGACTATTATCAATATGAGAACTTACGACTTGAATTTAAAACACATAGGGAGGGAACGTAAATTCATCTCTCCTCATTCGACATCCAACTTATCAGCGTCTTGGGCTGAGCGTATTTATCACGCCGCGTTCAATACAGAGGCGGCTGTAATATTATTATGCAAAGCAAGGGAGTTTGTCTGAAACGCAAGAAATTCGATAGCAAGGAGAACAAAGAGAGATTTTTTATTTCAACAGGATGAACGCTTCGTCGATTTATTGTTCGTAATGAATTACCCCGCAGGATGGGTGAGAGTTTAAAAAAATACTCTTTATTTTTGGAGTGACCAAAAATTGTTTGACGACTCAAGAAGGTTATTTCTTTTTATTGCTTAGATCGGTGGACGATCTCACAGCCCACCTGGTGTTAAGTGGTTACAGGAGCCCATGGACATCTACAACGTAAATGCGCCACCCACCCTGACATATAAGTTCTAAGGTCTCAAGTATAGTTACAGATTCAGATACTTATATCTTATTTATTTTTCAGATAATGAAAGCATCGTATAGCTTCTTCACCGTTCTGCAAAACTCCTTAGAGTAGCTAAGTTTGAATCATTTAGTCCTTAACCGGCCTTGCTGACTTCTCCAAGCAACAAATCTGGGGCGCATATTGTATCTGTCCTAATACTTTGGACTTAAAGCACGCATTACTGCTTCACGGCAGAAATAGGCAGGGTGGTGGTACCTAACCTACCCGGTTATACTGCTTTAAAAAAGTAAGTGGGTACGTGGTACAAATCGAAGAAGATCACAGAAAGCGTAATAATTTAATGGACAAGTCGTCTATTGTAACTCAGATCGAAATTTCAGCCAGATGGTTTAGTTCTTTGTGAAAGCACGTATCTTTATAGATATCTGTTCGCGTATGAGATTCATGGAATGTAAGTACAACGCGTAATTAAATCACCCCCGTTAAGAAAAACATAAAACTGGTTGTACTGATTTGGAGGGGTAGAGACCGTACCAGCTAATTTTGTACGGCGAAGTGATCTTTCTTTCATTTCGAAAGATGGGACAGTACATTTGAAAGTTCGAGCTTTTATATACTAATACTTCTATACTAATATTATAAAGAGGAAAGATTTGTTTGTTTGTTTGTTTCGAATAGGCTCCGAAACTACTGGACCGATTTGAAAAATTATTTTTCCATTAGAAGCCGACATTGTCCCTGATGAACATAGGCTACTTTTTTTTTTTTTTTTTGGTTTCATGTGTGTTTTAATGTTTCCGAAGCGAAGCGAGGGCGGGTCGCTAGTAATATTATAAAGAGGAAAGATTTGTTTGTTTGTATTGAATAGGCTCCGAAACTACTGAACCGATTTGGAAAATTCTTTCACTGTTTGGAAGTTACAATATTCCCGAGTGACATAGGCTATAATCTTTTTTGAAAAAAATTAGGAATCCTTACTAATAATGTAACCCAAGGTGTAAAAAAATTACCTAAAGTATCCTTTACATCGCGTGCCCTGCGAAAACTTTTGATGATAGAATAAAATAATGTACTACGACTTTGTAGAACACATTATTATTTACAAAAAGTGTCGCGACGGCATATATCTAACTATTATAATTATGCCGCAATAAGTGTTAATTTAATTTAAAAAAATAAAACAACGTCAAATATCGTTTAAATTTTTGTTAAAGATCCGAGCAGAGCCGGAGCGGGCCGCTTGTGTCTTATAAAGGGGTGGGGTATTCGCCTTGTTATCACCGGGCTCCAATAATTACTAAAACATTAGTTAGATCGTGAGTTCGGAGATGAAGTAACAAAATGTAAATTCAAATACAATTTAGTAATATAAGTAGTGATGAATTGGTTCCGCCAAGTAAACGATCATTAGAAGAATTAAATTCAATTTCAAAAGGCACTTCCAGGAAAGTGAGGAATTGTTCGAGATGATACCGACATCTCGTTTTTACCATCGCACCGCCCGCCACCGGAGTAGGGTTCATCCATACTACCTGGAGCCACTGCGTTCATCCACAGTGCGTTTCCAGAGATCTTTTTTGCCACGTACCATCCGGCTATGGAATGAGCTCCCCTTCACGGTGTTTCCCGAGCGCTATGACATGTCCTTCTTCAAACGAGGGTTGTGGAGAGTATTAAGCGGTAGGCAGTGGCTTGATTCTGCCCCTGGCATTGCTGAAGTCCATGGGCGACGGTAACCACTCACCATCAGGTGGGCCTTATGTTCGTCTGCCTACAAGGGCAATAAAAAAAAAAGTCTCTAACCATTTAAAAATGATGGTGACACCAGTCATTTGTCGTCTGTGAACATTTTTATTGGTTCAGTTTGATTCACTTATTGTCAATTTAGATTTAACGTTCTTAAAGCTGAGATTGAAAGGCTCTTAAAACTGTGAGGGGATTATTAATAATTGAAGGATTGTATGTTTAGTTATTATAATTTTTGAGTATCAAGCTGGAAACCGAAGCACCTGATGTTTTCTATACTAATATTATAAAGAGGAAATATTTGTTTGTTTGTTTGTATTAAATAGGCTCCGAAACTACTAAACCGATTTGAAAAATTCTTTCACTATTTGGAAGCTACACTATCCCCGAGTGACATAGGCTATAATCTTTTTTGTAAAAAAAAAAAAAATAGTGATCCTTAGTAAAACTCCAATAATGTAACCCAAGCTGTAAAAAAGTTACCTAAAATATTCATTACATCGCGTGCTCTGCAAAAATTATTGATGGTAGAATAAAATAATGTACTACGACTTTGTAGAACACATTATTATTTACAAAAAGTGTCGCGACAGCATATGTCTAACTATTATAGTTTTTATTTTAAAAAATAAACAAAGTCAAATATCGTTGAAATTTTTAGAGACCCGAGCGGAGCCGGAACGGGCCGCTAGTATTTTAATAAAAGCATTACTTGAAAATATTCTTACTTTCATTTCTTAATGTTATAATTTTTATTTATTTATTGCTTAGATGGGTGGACGAGCTCACAGCCCACCTGGTGTTAAGTGGCTACTGGAGTCCATGGACATCTACAACGTAAATGCGCCACCCACCTTGATATATAAGTTCTAAGGTCTCAGTATAATTACAACGGCTGCCCCGCCCTTAAAACTGAAACGCATTACTGCTTCATGCCAGAAATAGGCAGGGCGGTGCTACCAACCGTGTGGACTCACAAGAGGCTACCACCAGTAATAATAAATAATAATTCTAAATACATTGGACTGTAGCATCAATGTTGCTATCCACTGTGCAAAAGTCAGGAGGGGATGGAGGAACATAATCCTAACAAAAGTGCTCCGTAAAGGTCACGACCCTCACTGAGGAACACAAAGCAAGGAGGAGGAATTCTTAATAGTTAATAATGGTAGATATGCTCATGGTTAAATACAGTAAATACCACTATGAGACACTAGGTCTAACTACAAATTCTTCAGTATAATAGTTGTAACAGATATACAGACAACTCCTTTGCAACTGATACAATCTATTATATTGTAGAATATTGTTTTAAAATATTTAAATCCTGTGTGAATTTGGAAGGTTATGGTGCATTTATGCCTTATTATATTATTATGTTACCCATAAAATATTATTTTCTAGTATAAAGTTTTTTATGGTTTGAAAATTGAGTTTAAATATGCCATTGATTATCTAAGCATCTTTATAGACCAATATTGGAATTGATTCAATTTTTTTTATCGTCGACACTCAATAAGAATTAAAAAAATATATATTTTATTAAAACTACTTTCAACTTTTCATTCCATTATAATGTTAATATTCATTAATCGAATCGCAATAAAACGGAGAATTCGCATATCTAAATAATAATGTTATGTAGCTGAAGTATTTGTTAGTAATCTTTATATATATTACTTCTGTGCGTGTGTTTGTCACTGAAGTCCTCCTAAACGGCTGGACCGATTTGAATGATTTTTTTTGTATGCGTTTGGCTTAGATTCACTAATCAGCCCAGCAGATGGCGTTGCAGTCGGTATCTAGGTTATTTATCTATACTACAACTAAATGGCTGGATCGAGTTGAATGAATTTTTGCAGGACAATGTCTGTCGGGTCCGCTAGTAAGTACATAAAAATAAATTACACTTACTGCTTTGTAGTACTTTCAGCAGTGGCGGGCCCGACCTATTTGGTGGGCCCGCACGCGGTTCTCCTTCGAGTACTTTCTACTATCGGTTGGATTCTAATCCTGTGAACAAAAGAAAACTGTAAGGCGGATTGGTAAAAATCACATGCGTAAAATGCAACTAAATAATCGATCGGAGAATGGCCAGCACTATTCTCTGCCTATATACACTAACTCCATATATACACGCCAACCGGAATTCAATGGTGATAGAACGTATTGCGAAGCGGTATGGCTGATTGGTACCACTATCCTGCCTGTTTTTGCCGTGAAGTAGTTTCGGTTTGATACAGCCGTTCTATTTATCAGCTGTAGCAAGTTCTTTTTTTTATTGCCCTTTTAGGCAGACGAGCATAATGCCCACCTGATGGTGAGTGGTTACCGTCGCCCATGGACTTCAACAATGCCAGGGGCAGAGCCAAGTCGCTGCCTACTAAACTTGCCTACAACCTGCTGCGGGGCGCCTCTCATCGTGTGATAGCTATGGGCTGTGTTAACTATTTGATGATGTAGCGGGGGAGTCACAACCTCAGCTATGAGGAAAGTGACACGAAGAGGAGGAAGCAAATATTTAGTTATTTAGATTGGTCGTGAGCCGTCTGCCGATTTGCAACTTTAATCCATAAATAAATAACCATCTAAATAAATATCCATCTATTACGAATAATAGAAACATAGCGATTTTTTTCTTTCTTTTAATTTATTGATGCACAAAATAAACAATCATTACAGTACATATTAGCTAAATCGTACAAGTAGTACTTAGATCTAATCTGGATTGCAATCTAAATAGTATGTGCACTCAGCAAATCCATTTGAATGTGCATAGCTTTGGCTATTGAAAACACAATTTAAATTAAAAATCTCGATAACTAGCCATTGTTAAATAGAATATCCTTGACATCTGATGAATCTCCTGAGTCTAGGTTCAAAGATTCATTGAGGTTGCTATTAATGTATAAGTTTATACTAGATGATGACCGAGCCTTGCTCGATTTTTTTTTGATAACGCCATCTTGTTGTGTCTTTAAAGTGGTTAGTTGCCCTCAATTAAGAAAAATTGTATTATTATTCGCCAATAGATGTCGGGAAGAGTTGATTATTGAAAACACGAATAAAACAACATTTTCTGAAAATAAATCGTAGCTAGATCGATTTATCGCCCCCGAAATCCCCTGTATACTAAATTTTATGAAAATAGTTGGAGCCTTTTCCGAGATTCAGATTATATATATATTAATATACAAGAATTGCTCGTTTAAAGGTATAAATAAATAAAATTCTAGGAACAATATGCATTACAATCAGAGATGAAAAAATGGACCAGAGTAGATAACGAAAAAAAACCTTTAGTGTAGTTCCATGAGTGGTACCGAACGCGAGCATGTCGCATTGTGGATCGGAGGCTTTATTTCTTTTGTGCTCTATCTCGGCATCCGCAGACTCGCGAGGCTGGCAAAATGCCAACAAGCTTTCCGCTAGCTTAAGACGTAAGCTTGGGCGTATTATAAAGAGTATGTTGCTTGCTTGTGAGCAGTAACCGTGCGTCGAAGTCTTAGTGGAAGGAATCTACTGGTTCCACGCGACAATGGTTCTTAAGATGAAGGTTGTGTGGTTTCCTTTGCCAATACACGTTTTGTTAACAAATTCCGGCCGAAATGCCCAAGCTAATGACCAAATTCCAATTGTTGGCCACACAAAAATCTGATAATACAAAAACAAAACGATAGACATCTGTCTGTTTTATTTTATTGTGTCGGGATTTTTATTGCCAGATGAGATCAAGGCTTCAGGTTACTTGCAACGTATGTGATATAGCATCACAATATAGTTGCCGCTATCCACTTTGAGACATGAGAACCTCGTGCTCTGGTACTAACGTAAAGCTGGGTCGATCAAAATTTGTTTTCCCATATATACATGTGAGGTTTTCTATTCAGGCTGGGCCAGTAAAACGGTTGATGAATTGACACAGACTTGATTTTTTATTTCGTCTTAATCGTCTTAAATCTATTTAACTAAAATATAAACGTCTTTCTAGTTCTGAGTTACACCGAGTCTGTCTGCTGTTGCGTCTGGCAACTACCCTCTTCTGGCTTAAAAAATAAAACTAGGTGTTCCGCATTCGTTCGCCGTCTTTCTTACTTCCTTACACGACATCTCCTATCTCTCTCACTCAGTCATGCTTCATATCTGTCATTCATCCATACCGTTCCGTTCTTCCGTTGCAAGAGAACTTCACTATGTCAAGATTTTATTACTGCTATAAATGTAGCTAAATTCATTAACTATTGTGATTAGTAAACAAAAGCTCGTAAACTTCAAGACCACAGCTAAACACAATCGCTCGATTATCGTTGAGTATCGCCCATAGCTCGTAACATGAAACCGTAGCAGTTTTGTACAGCTTAATTTAATATTATCGCGCGATATTTATATATGAATAACGTGGAACAGAGCGAAAAGACAGAGTTCACGAAGTGACGCTATCAGATACACATTTAGTTTCTGTGCTGCCGCTTTTGTGTTATATTGAAAGAATATTGCAATTAATAGTACCTATAGTTTTTCTCATATTGCTTTATATACGCAAACAAACTCACGACCTACAGGTTTCATAGAACCTATAAACATTGCAACGAGAATATCACCGTCAAGCTTTAAATACAAGGTAGAAGATAGATAGAAGTGCCAATGACATAATTGAGCAAATGCTATTTTTTAAATCACTACATAGTATAAAACAAAGTCGCTTTCTCTGTCCCTGTATTCCTATGTATGCTTAAAACTTTAAAACTACGCAACGGATTTTGATGCGTTTTTTTAATAGATAGAGTGATTGAAGAGGAAGGTTTATATGTATAATAACATCCATTAAAAAGTGGAGAAATTAATAATAAACTACAGTTTCCGAAGCGAAGCGAGGGCGGGTCGCTAGTTCTGAATAATTTTGAATAGTATGTTGATAATTACATATTAATCTTTATTATATTAATCATAGCAGTCAAAGACGATACCGCGCTTGCCAAAAACCGAAGAATTTAATATTACACTTATGCACATCGCATCATGTCTGAATAATTTAACAATGTTTGTCAAATACGAACAAAACCGAAACATTGTTCAAACAGAAAACGAAACACACGCGCTTAAATTCATATTATGTTTGCCATGGTTACTGCATTGCATACGTTTATTTCAAACGTGACATATTCGTTTTGATCTCAAAGGTGATTTAGATTAGATTAATATAAGCGCGCTGTAATCTACAAATAGTTTTGAGCGCTTGTCTTTTTCATTGACATACTTTTTTGACCTTGACTTAAATCGCCCGATCACACCGCAATCATCTTAATATATAAAATTCTCGTGTCACAATGTTCGTTCCCATACTCCTCCGAAACCGCTTGACCGATTCTCATGAATTTTTTTATGCATATTCAGTAAGCCTGAGAATCGGCTACTATCTATTTTTCATACCCTTAAGTGATTAGAGTTGTCCACCCCTAACATTTTTTTTTATTTGGACATTTTTTTTTGTTATAATGAGGTATTATGTGGTTGAATGAGGTTTTGTTATTTTTATTATATATTCCCTCATCGTTCACAGCACTACATACCTCTTTCACTCATTTCGCACATCCTTACACACTTACAATAAGTTAGTTTTTTTTCTACACTAGAAATTCCCTAGAAATCTTATATATGGCAAAACAATGTTTGCCGGGTCAGCTAGTATTTTATAAAAAAGCTAGCGACTGATAAATAATTACACTAAAATATGAGGTTATTAATAAACGTGTGAAATTATTACTACATTACATACACCGCGGTTATTTATTAGGCTGTATATAATATGTTTTTTCCTTTTTTTGGAACGAAGTTTCCTTATGGGACGATGCGAAGGGGTATTTTTTATAAATCATTGTGAATAAAATAAAATTGATAGCTTTGTAAAGTAGATTTTTTTTATTAATAAAAAAATCATAATAAAAAATGTATATCCGAATAATTATTTTCTGTATACCTCGAATAGAACTGAAAATTAATATTTTTATAATAAGGAACTTCGTTCCTATCCGGTGTCCCACGACACCACACATCATTTTTTTTTTTGTTGTTTGAATATACTTGAAAAATTGGAGTATGATACCTATATGCGTACACATTAGACTTATTTTCATTTGACGAATCGGTACACATGCATTTATTAAAACTTTGTATTTGTTTTAATTCACTAGTATAGATAGCATCTCATACCGATATCGTGTAGTTACCTTAATTATTAAGTACGAGTAATTTAAAATACCGATACTATGTGACTCTCTGCAGACATCTATACGTAATTTCAACTAATTAAAAAACCCGCAGGCGGGTACCAATTTTTCGAATGAAATACGTACTCGACAAATTTTCACGATTGACTTCCACGGTGAAGGAATAACACCGTGTTATAAAAATCTAACCGGCAAAATTAAAATTTGGGTAATTAATGGTGGTAGTCCTCTTGTGAGTACCCTGCCTATTTCAGCCGTGAAGCAGTAATGCGTTTCGGTTTGAAGGGTGGGGCAGCCGTTGTAACTGTACTGAGACCTTAGAACTTATACCTCAAGGTGGGTGGTGCATTTACGTTGTAGATGTCTATGAGCTCCAGTAACCACACAACACCAGGTGGGCTGTGAGTTCGTCCACACATCTAAGCAATAAATAAATAAATCTAAATTAAGCTCACCATATACTTTTATTACTCACATCATATTGTATAATAATATGTTTGGGCTAGTTTCCTAATCACTTTTTCATTATATGCCTGTGATCGTCAGGAAGTTTTAGGCTTAATAAACCTTATTTGAAGTTTATTATCGCTATAGTTTCTTGTTTGTTTACTTTGGCTGTTTTAATAGGGTCTTACTAAATTTATATATACTAGAGGTCCCGCAGTAGTCGAAATTCGACTATAATTAATTGGAATTGTAAGATTGTACACTATTATGATTGTATTTTATACTTCTATAATCACAAATTTCGCCTATTTATTTAAAAAAAGAAAATTATGTACATAA